AAAGTGTGTTAGCACTTTAGTTCCATTACAAGGTTACTAATTACTGTAATACAATTTGCGAAATGAGACTGTAGGATGAGATATATTGAAAAATAACCCAAGTAAAACACATGACCCATGGAATACATAAGGAAAACATTGTCGAAATAATTTAATAAAAATGAAACTGTAATGGAACAAAAGTTAAATTAGCTTTCGCATTATGTTCACACTGTAAAAGCTTCGTGTTATTTCTGACTGTAATAAAGGTAGTTAGTTAAAGAGTAGTCAAGAAGTTTATAAAATATTTTATTATGCACGAAACATATGTCCTTTAAAACCTTTTATTAAATACAATAATTTTGCAAACATTCATAAAAGTTATTAGCCGAATGCAGTGTATATCAAACGTTTTTTAAAGTATTTCAAAGAGATATATTCCAATAAACTGACGTAAAAATAAAATCTTCTATCATATGCAATTATAGAATTTTCCAAAATGCATGAGCGATGAATTTCCTGTAAGCATAACTAGATGTGACCTGAGATTGTATTCAAGAATGTCTGAAAATCTCCACTAAAACCTTTCTAACGGTACACAAATTGCTGTAATATAATAACTTCAGACAACTTTTTACCATTAAAAATAACAGTTTGTAGAGCTACTAGGTTTTCTTAAAACAGCAACACGGCATTCCCTCTTCGGAATTCGACCTTCGGATATTCCGAATATTAGCCGAATAAGCTAACGGTTACAACACGATAGCATGCACAAGGGAAGGCTTTAATTCCTTATTACTGTTGTCTCAAAAGTTTCAAAACTAAAAAATACCAAAATCTTAAAATATAATTTTCATAACATTTTAAGAAGAGATTTGTAATCTCCTTATTCAGACTTCAGCTTAATTCCTGAAAAAATTGAAATTACTTTATACTGCTTTTATAACTATCCTTAGAAATCTATGGTATTGAGCATGAAATTACGTATATATTTACGATGAGGTGTTGAAAATAGTAATGGCGAATAAGAGAGGGGAGGAACACGATAATCTGGTAAAATAACTAAATTTAACAAATATATGATTAATAACATAGGTAAAATTTGAAATCATAACTTTTGAATCATAACTAATTTGAAATAAATTTGCAAATAAATAATATTTAATAAATATGCTTAGGACAGATGATAAATTTATTACCTTGCTATTGAACGTATGAAGGAAATGATTAAATTAGTTTATGGTCAGGCTTAATAACAGAAATAAAAATATTTCATATACAAAATATTTCTTTCCTACCATAGTTCTGATTTTCAGATTTTCTCCCCAAATTTAACCAACATATACATATACTTCTTTAATTTTTCTTCGTAATAAATTAATCATTTTACATCTGAGAGGCAAGCTGAATGTCCTAACCAAAAATTATTTTATGTTAGAAATAAAATAAAAAAGATCTCGTAAGCTGCTAGCGTAATATAAATTGGAAAATTATGTTTAAAATGTTCATGTTAATTTAATTAGATTTAAAGAAATTAAATAATGAAGAATATGCATGAATTAATGTGTGTTTCTCGCATTGTGATAAAACAACGGTACTTAAAGCCATCAAAATTTGAATAACGTAATGTTCCATAGAATATGGGTATGTAGAAGCGCTAACTTGATTTTAAAATGTGTTTTATTATCGATTTCATTATTTGTAACACATCAACTAATTTTTATCAACAAACTAAACATTTTCAAAGAGAGCAATGGCAACACAGTAGAGGGAAAAAAAAGTTTTAAAGTTATTTTGCGATATTGCTGTTGAACCTAATTTTATGGTTTAAGTACGAAAAACAAAGTACTTAATATATAAAGATAACACACAAAATGTTATAAAAACGCCCCTTTGGACATAATTTAAAATTTGAGTCTTTTCAGATTTTTTTATTATTATTTTCTATTTATTTATTTAAATATAACTTCGGTACAGCAAATTAAAATGACTTTAATAATGATAAAGTGGAAAATATATAAAGGAACTAAATAATTAGTATTTGGGTAAGTGATATTTTAATGCTGTACAATTAAAATAAATATAAAAACAATTAAGGACGCACAATATACAGTATAGATTTTAACTGGTTCTTTTGCATCGCATTATCTTACGATGCGAAATATTACTCTTAATGATTTCTTCTCATATTTAAATTGCTTTAAAATCAAGATATTTATCAACTTAAATTAAAATCAGGAAACATTATTTTTTTCCGAAGTCCAACGTTCATTATAGTTCTATTTGATTTATATTATACACTTAAATTACGATCCAATTATTCCGCTTAAATAGAAGCTTTAAAGATCTCAATTAAGGATTGAAATAAAATATTATCAAAGTTATCTAATGTATAGGTGTAAAATATAGCTACAGGTTAAAAGCTTTAGCTATGGTATAATATATTGCTATTAAGTGTGAGGTAGCAACATAATTTTATTTCCTACAGCTGAAGCATTTTGTCTGGTATAATTTGTGTGATCATTGTAAACTTTTTATTTTCGCGTTTTATTTCTGAATTATTTATGTTTCAAATTATTTATAAGTTTAAACTTTCTCGTTTTTAAATTAATAATGTTCTTTAAAGAGAATTTTTCCCAATGACTGACCTCCTATTTATTTTGAGATGGAAATCATTTCTGTCTTATTTTAAAATTTCTAAAATGTGTATTCTTCACGAATCCTACACAACGAAATAGAACTCAATTCTATATTTATTTACATAATATATCTATTTTTGCATTATTTATTTTACATTTTTGTATTTAATCAGAAATTTTACATTATGAACAGAATTGTATTTCTTATGATTTTGATATGTGCGCTTAATTAATAAACTTTCTTATTGTTAATAATAAACTAAAATCACTAAAATGTTAAAAGAATGCATATTACACATGCACTCTTAACACGAAATAGAAGAACGAAGACGGAAATTAAATTTAACATTGTTATAGTATATTTAAATCACATTGTATAACATAAATCACATTGTATAACAAACTTATACATTTAAATAAATAAGTCTATTATGGGAATGACATGTATAAGAATTTGAAGATATACTATATTGTTGTGTTGAGGTAATAATCACATCCACCTGGCATTTGCTTGCTGGAAGATTCAAATTCGATTATCAGCTCGAACGCAGTTAGTTGTTTTATTTCTTGCCTCAAGTAAACGCAAAATCTTGTTATTCAACAAATGATTTTAAAAAGTTTGTAATTTATGTAGCAATTATCAGTAACAATGGAAAATTCAGTACATACGCGTGGAGTGAAAAAATATTGCTAAAGGCTTTTTACAGGCATTAATGTTAGAATTCTTAGTTTAAAACTGACGAAAGGAATAACATTTTACAATTCTTCTTGTATGCAGTTATTTTCACAAACTCCATGTCTTCTTTCAGATAATGGGTATATTAGCATCTGCATACTACTCATAATCTACATCCGCATACTACATCAATGGAAAAATTTACTTCAATAGAAATATTTAATGCAAAACAATAGATTACGATTAGCCCCTAAATTTCTTAAAAGTACAGAATTTATAAAGAGTTTATATTTCATTTTATGTAAAAGCCTTAAATAGGCTTCTTTGGTAATTAGGAACACGTACACATTTAATCTTCTCGGAATTTCTATAAACCTTCAACCCAGTTATAAAAATCAGAAATTAGCCTTCATGCAAGATGTCAGTTATGGTTGATTCGAGATCTTACGAACTTTGTGTACTTTTTAGTCAGTACATTTAAACTGCTATATTTTACAAAATCCAGTTAAAAATTGATTGCAGTAGCATGGAAAGAAACCTGTGTGACAATTCTTTTATATAAATGAAAATGTATTATCGAAGTTCATTTTGTGCACAACAACCAGATTTATTTATATATTACCTAAAGTGAAGTACGAGGATGGTGAACATAAATTTTTCAAAAAATATAGACCTTCTTCGAATAGTGTCTGCCCAGTTTGAGATACCTACTTTTGCATTGTCATTTTGAATTCTTCAGCGCAGTAATATTGACTTCTCGATTTTTGTTTTCTTTCACAAATCGGTTCACATAAAAACTGAAGAAGGAGAAATTCAACGATAAAAGTTGTTCCAATACTTCCAACCCGAATATTTTACAGCCTGTTCTTTACATCGCACGTCCATTCCCGAAACACGAACACACCGCTTCGATCATTTGATACAAAATTCCTTCTTCAACAGTGAATCTCAACGTTGTTTTACGTTTTTAATTTATTTTTGCAAGCTTTAACGCCTTTGAGTTACTACGCTAGTAGCATTATTTTCCATAAGAAATGTAAAGGAACCTCGCGCATAAACATATCCTTGCTTGAACATGCACGCGCTTGAAATGTTTTCAATTTTTCTGTAAGTTTTGAATTATAAAGTTTGTGGTTCAAAATGACAAGATTTCTTTAAAAACTCCATTACAACGCGCAACTCCCCAAGAAAAGTAAAAGCACTGCAAAAATAAAGCAAAACATACAGAACTCACATGTAATACAAGGGTCTAAGATTACGTATTTCCAAGCAACAAATTGCCCGGTAATATAAACATGCAATCTTTTCGTACCAGTGGCATACTTAGAGTAGTACAAATACATCTGTTCCCGGGCGCTGAATACCCTAGTTACGCCTCTGTATCGTGCGCAGTTAAATGCTCCCCCAGCACAGGTAGGCTAACGCATTACTTAACAAACGTTTGATGTAGTCCTGTTATACCCATTGCGTGTATACAGCGTTTAATGTATATCCCCACCTGCCCAAGTCCCACCATAAAACGAGACAACCGATAACACCGTCAGCTGTGGTGAAACTTACGATGTCCGTTGTACTAACCTATAGTTAGTACTAACCTGAACTTATAGTTAACCTAACCCAACCTATTGAAATTATGGGAAGCATTTCCAACACAGGCCATCAAAATATATTGTCCCGACATAACGTTTTATGTAAATGCAGCTTACCTTTATGTTTAGAAATTCGATGGAAAGGTAAATGAGATCAAAATACTAGCGCCGAAGAAATTGTCTTGAATCTGGAACAAACATAATATACGAACTTTAGTATTGAAAAGAAAATTGTAGGAATACATACATGAAAAATTCTTTCTTATATCAAACTTTAAGCCGGAAGACAAATTTTTGTACCAAGGAAAATTAAAAATATGATATTACTGGAATATTTTTATCTTCTTGTAAATGAATTTGAAAGAAAAGCTTTGATTAATTGCCGAAAACGTTTTGAACTATACGAACATTTTGAGTAATTCTAAGGATCTTGGTTTTGGAGTTATAATGGGTTATGTTACAGAAAAGTAAATCATTAGACTGCTTACTGAAAAAAAAAAAAATTCTATAAAAAATGTGTTTTTTCTAGAATGCATGGTACAGTAAATGAAAACAAAGATATTGCTTCTAGTAGGGTAATTAAATAAATGGAAGGTTAATTTTTTTAGGTTAATATGATAGAAAATCACAGGTGGATTTTGCCACCTTAAAGGAAGTGTATAATGAAAGAACGCAACCAAGGCTATTTTGTGTGTAAACCTTTCTCCGACAAAGGATAATATTTTTATTAATTACATAAATACACTTATGTCTGCAAATTTAATCTATACTAGGGATTCCCAACCCTATACCCGTTGACACCATAGTGCCTGCCGATCGTTTAACGTGTGCCCGCCACTGTGCGATCACAATAAAAATGTTTTAGTTTTCAATAAAATGGTATATGAACGTTTCTTTATTTTAAATCAAACAGAAAATGCGTCCAACAAAAATACCAGCACAAAGCGAAATGCGACCGATCACTTTTTTATGTGAATGTATTATTAACCCTATCCAACCATAAATTAATCTTGAAGACGTAAATGGTGCCTGCCATCCAACAAATTTTCTAGCATGTGCTTTTAGGGGTAAAAACGTTGCGGGTTGCCTGATCTATACTATTAAAATTTCTGTCCTTCTGTTTGTTTGTTTGTAACATCATCTTCTCCAGAACGGCGGGGGAGCTGAGCTTTGAGAAAGGTATCTCAGAAAGTCAAAATTCGTGGGAGTTATTTCGTCTATCCTTATCTTCGTACAATTTTAATCAGCCGAGATATTAATTAAAACCTCTGAAAACGGTAATTTTCGCAAACATTCTTCTAAGTAGCAACAGTCTCGCGCCTCGAAGGTAAAAATGATTTATTTCGTAAAGTGATACCACTGCTTGCTTTCAAATCGCAGAGTTTGTTAATCAAAACTTTGTTTTACAAAGTATGAAATAAAAATAGCAATGCCAAAATTTTAAATAACTTGCAGCTGTTGGCATATTTTATGTTGCAGGTTAGGATAATTGACACGACATGAGCCACGTTAATACTTTAATTGATATTGAGAGTGTCTATATTACATTAAATTTAAATTATGACGTCATACGTATTAACCTGAAGTGTCAAAAGCTTTGCTGGAAAAGATTATATTTAGGAATTGGTTGTTGCTTGCAAAGAAACTGATTTCATTCATATTAAAACGTTTTTATGTATTTTTAAATGTGTTTGTAAAACCTATAAATTTTGCTTTGGCTGCAGCTAGCAACTTTGTGTACAGTACATGAAATTAATAGTTCATTTTATTTTCAATTTTTCAGTGCATTTTGATACATTTATTTGCAAATAATTTAATTTCTTTCATTATATAGTCTTTTTAGTACAATTTAAACTTTTTATAGGTATTTAATGTATTTTAGTTGAACTATTATTTCAGTACGGTGCTATTCAATTTATTAAAATACGAAAATGCAAAAGAAGCATTATGAAAGATGCATTCAGAAGACAAAGAACTGAAGCTCAAAGGTTTCGCTAAGGTACAGAAAATGAAGAAACCACTAGAAAATTGATCAGGCAAGTATAACGACAAGAAATCTTACGTACTCAAAAAATTGAAGGAGAAACGACAAGGACACACAAGAGGCAAGCACAACGATAAGAAAATTTATATTCTCAAGAAACTAAAGAAGAAATGACTAGGGTACTTAGGAGGCAAGAACATTGACAAGAAAACTTTCGCATTCAAGAAACTGAAGAAAAAACCAATAAAAAGCTCAGCAGGTAGGCAGGAAACCAAGAGAATTAGCGTTCCCAAGTACCGGAAGCAGAAACTATTAGGAAGCTTTTCAGACAAGTGAAACATCGACAGAATAAAACAGAATATAAGTAATAAACATATGAAGAAGTTCCAAGTAGACGAAGGACACAAGACTCTCAGCATCATCGTCAAATTCGAGTGAAAGGGCCAGAACAGGATGTGACTACACGAAGAACGCAAGATGCTGCACACTCTAGACATGTCCGACCTGAGGATATAATGGTTGTACGCGAAGAAAGGCATACAACAGTAATACAGCACGACGTTCACGTAACACTCTTTACAAAGCAGGAAATTGTGAACTCGAAGTTTTCGCTGAGCAACACAGTGTCTGTTCAATGGAAGCCTGCTGCGATCTCTGCAGTGGATTCTCCTTTCCAGCAGAAAGGAACGCATGAGGAGGATCCGTGCACTACTATGACAATAGCAAAATTGTAGAAGCTGAAATAAGATATCCAGAACGGGAACCACCAATTATCTCAAAATTTTTTTGCAAACATACATACATATAACCGTCTTAGATTTGCTTCTATGTGTGCCATATACTAGAAATGCTATAGGTTCAAACCCTATTGTTTTAAAATTCCTGGTGCCATATATCATCGAAAAAACCACTTTCATGCACCTCAACATGGTAAAGTTATTATGCCCAACTGTATATTTTAGATTCGGTTAAGCCCTCAACCAGAGAATGAATACACTTGGAAATGTTGCTCTGAAACCTGCTGTTGATAGCCATATGTCATCAAAAGTGAAAGTTTTGCTACAGGGGAGAATAGAGGATATTACAAAGCTCCGAATGAAATTAAAGTTTCAGTTATTCCCAATAGTGAAGATAGCGTTCCTCCATCAAATAGAGAATCGTGATATATCCAAGAGGTGGTGGTTTCACATTGTAGAGACATTAGATATATTTTTGGAGGCAAGAAAAGTTGAAAAATAACAAACGCATTCGCCGGACATTGAACGCTGGACCTTTGGAATACAGGCCCAGCGTGCAGAATCACTACACCGCGAATAAAGCGGGAGAAATACCTTATATACTCCACCTCTTAAAAGGCGACTGGGTATTTTTAGGGCACCCATTCGCCAAATTCTGGTAAAGAGAATCATCATTCAACACCCTTTTAGTTCGAGCACCACTGTAGAGACATTCGGTATATTTTTGGAAGCAGGAAAGTTGAAGAATAGCAAACGCCTATCCCTGGGAATCGAACCACGGACCTCTGGAATAACGGCCCACCGTGCAGATCCATTACATCACGAAGGCATGCGTAGAAGGATGGAGAAATACCTTATAACATAAGTACTTTAAATCTTAACTTGGAACCAATGACATATGTAATTTTCTTTCCTAGTGGTGATTAAGTACCCAGAGTTGAACACAGACACAGAGTTGTAGTTTTATAGTCACAGACATTCTATACGTCAAGATTGCTGCAACCCTATTTTGAATAGCCGAATCCTATTTCATTAGTATTTTGCTGATGCATGCTTAAATGCTGAATGCAACATAATTACATACGTCAGGAACCACCAAACGAATCTTAGAGAGGAAAGTTACAAGGGCTTTTCGATCACATTTACAGAGTTCGTCAATTAACAAGTCTCCGGCTTGGAATACCAATCATTGTTCCATAAACATTTATAGGAAGCCCTCGCCACATGCAGCAAAACTATCAGGAATCTATGGCTACCGTGCGTGGTAACCCAGATCTGTTTTTATGCAACTCTAAACGGACGGAAATAACAGAAAGCTGCTTCTCAGAGCAAAAGACTCATGTTCGTCCGATAATTGTGTCAAGAGTGTTTGTCCTGAAGAAAACAGCTTTATTGCACAATTTAACATAGAATCGCATCTTGACTGCGACAGATGCAGATATACAAGTCATCGAATTTCAAAAGAAAGGATTGCCTCGTTTGCATCTTTTGCTCATTTTAGCGAAAGAAGATAAAATAGAATATTCAAAGCGTACTGACTCATTAGTGTGTGCTGAACTTCCAGATGCTACTCAACATTCTGTGCTTCACAATATTATGAAATCATCGATATATTATGGATACTGTGGCGAATTCAATCGAAACTGTTATTGCATGAGTCATGGTGAATGTTCAATAGGATTCCCTAAATCGTTTAAGGCTGAAACGAAAGATAATGTAGATGATAATCCTCTTTACAGAGAACAAGAGATGATGGAAACTTTATTGTTATCAAAAGATAATAGCATAGCAAGAGAGCCGTTCCTTACAATCTGTGTTTTTCAAAAAATATAGCGCCCACGTTAATGTTGAAATATGCAGTTCCATAAAGTCAGTCAAGTATTTTTTCAAATATGTGTATAAAGGTTACGATGCAGCTAAAGTGATTCTGGAAGAATCCGGAGACAGAAATATATAATGTGGGATGAGATCAAGTGCTTCTTAAATATAAGATATGTGTCAGCTCCTGTAGCAGAGTGGAAGCTGTTTGAAAGGAAAATGCATTCAAAGTCGTACTCCATCATAACACTACCAGTTCATTTGGGAAACCTGCAATCTGTCTATGTTACTGAATCAGAGGAAAGTAATTCTTTGCAGAGGAGTACTTACAGGAATACTAAGCTTACCGAATGGTTTGAAGCAGAAATGTTCATAATGCATTTCCTGTACTCTGAAATTCTTAAACAGTTCATTACAGTAATTATGTCTGGCACATAAAGGGTAGATTTGGAGATTACATTATTTTAATAATATGAGCATTTTTGTCTGATGTTGTTGCTGGGTCACCTTAAAGGAGCAAAGAATCTTGCTGACGTAAGAACATATGAAGATGTAGAGTATTCAGCATTTAAGGAAGCCTATCGTGCAGGTCATCTGGTGTCCGCCGATAACATCGCGGCAAAAACATCGCTGACGAAAACGTCGCAGAGAAA